CAGCCTTCTGAGAGGGCAAAGGTCTTGCAGAAAAGACGTCCAGCTCCGGACACACATGTCCAGCTGGCGTGCAGAAGCTGGAAGAGGAGGATTGGTCGGTTGGACATTATTGTTTCAAAGATATAACCTCCCTTTGGACCCACAGACCACGTAAGGTGGTGAGTGAGAAAAGCAAAATGTGGCAAAGCTAAAAAAAATAGAAGCGAAATTAAATCCTCATTCATCCAACTCAAAATGCTTGGTTTGAAGGAGAGAGAGAAGTCAGATTCATGTTATTCTTCTTGCTAATACTATTAACACTTGTAAAGAAACCCCAAGTCCTAAAATGTTTGATGCACTATGTATGTATTGAAGATAAGAGGCCTCAGCCTTCTGTTTTCAGCTCTTGTTTTTGGAACGTGACCATAACACAAAAGGAAAAAGCATGAGGAGGGTAGAAGAAAGCAAACTTTGGAACAGCTGCTGTTTCCACTAGTGTATGGGACTGCTTCTTCTGCTTGGGTATCCCATCAGCCCTTGTTCCCCAGGCTGACAGAGGAGACTGAAGGCAGCTTACAAGATAAAGAAAGCGGGTTTGGGATCTAGTTAATGCTGGAAACCTGTAGAGCCGTTCAAGGTTTTCCTCCAGTTCTGAAAGGGTGTCATTATCTAGCCCCATGCACAAAAGAAAGGGGCAGTTCCAAGGGACCCAGGTAAGACCACCGGCTTCTCTGCCCAGCTCAGTCAACCTCGGATAGGGACTGTGGAGTTTGTAGTCCATCCCACACCTTCTGCTCTGCACACTAAAAAAATGCACACAGCATGCATTCACACAGCACACCTAATCTGTTGCTTAATTAGCTCATTTTCTGGTTTTGGAAAACAGCCTGAGCCGGAGACGGACCAACCTTCACAGCACACTAAGCCACCACAGAAACTAGCCAAGCTTCACCCGTGGCAGCCCCACGACTAACCTGAGACAGGTGTTGTGTCAACAGAGCCGCGCGCTCACACACAAATGGCTGCCCAGATTCACGAGGGGGCAAGACAGAAGCTGTCTAACTGCGAATTATGGGAAGCGTTTTCCTTCTGGGCTGACGGTCAGAGGCGGCACGTGGCTAGACGGCCCAGCACTGTAGGGCTGCAGAGGTAGAAACCTGAGGCCTGGGGGGATTTTTCAGAAAGAGCTGCAAGAGGCCGGAGGACCCCGGAAAGGCTCGACAAAAAGGAACGAGGAAAACGAGGTCGGGGGCAAGAACGGAAGCGAGCGTGTCTCGGGATGGGCACCCGGCTGGCACCCCATGCTGACAGACTCCACACCGCAGCTCCACCCGTGGATGGTTTCGGGGCCTGCTGGGGCCCAGAGCTCCGCTGCCTCCCACAGCGACTTCTGTGGCCGGACTGTGGCCACCTCCCGGCTCTCCCCAAAACCCGGAGCCCTGGCCTGTGATTGTCCAAACGCAATTCTTGTCTCTCCACCGAGAGTTGAGTCTGGACATCATGAGCCGGGGTTGGAGGTCGGCAGCCAGGGGAGGCCCGGAGGGGCCGGGCCCTTGGGGTCTTCAAAGGATCCGGCACAGCTCCTTCTTGAAGCGAAGCATCGCAGGATATTTATTTCTCAGCTGGGGGGCGGGGGGTGCTTTGTGCCTGTTTTTTAAAAGAAAGAAGTAAAGAAATAGCCCACGTGTGTTAGAAGTAGTCAGTGGGTGCATCTGCGGGCCAAGGCGGTCGGTCTTCCTCAGAGCCTCCGAGCCAGCTTTCGTGCCACGCAGCCCAAGACCTTCAAGTTGCCTGAACTCCAACTTGCCTGAAATCCAGCCACCCCTCCCGGGGAAGTTTTTCCTCCCCAACAAGGGGAAAAGGGTCCCGTGAGAGCCGGCCTGCAGCTGGCCTCCCTCTCCGTAGAGAGCTGCACCCCTGGAGGTACCAGTTGGGGAGGGGCGGCAGCCCCATAAGTTTCAGGGGGCCAGAACAGCATCTGATGCCACAGGCCCCATTTCCCGTGGGGCGTTTAGGCTCGGCCAGGTGGGCAGCTCCCACACGGAGGGATGCATTGGCTGCGTCGGCAAATTCTCTCTGCGGGCTCCCCGTTCCCTGATCCAGCCAGGAAGTGGCCATTTCCCCATTTAGACAAGGGGGGCGCCCCCCT